TTGCATGTTCTTGCTCTTCATTACTTGCAGAACTTCATGCCACTCCCTCCTTCCATCTTTTTCAAATTTAGCCATTTTGGTGGGTATGTAGAGCTATCTGATCATGAGTTTAAGTTGCATTTCCCTAAAGGCTAGCTGTGCCGATGACCTTTTCCTTGGTTTAACAGTCACCAGGATATACCTTTTATGAGGCGCCTCTTAAAGTCTTTTACCCTCATACCTTTTGGGTTCTAGCCCTTATCCTGTGATTTTTTTAATCCTCGCCTGTGGATATTTTTTCCATTGCATTTTAGACAGACTGAAAGAGAGGAGGAGAGAAAAAGAGGGAGGGGGATGGGGAGGCGGAGGGGGAGGGAGGAGGGAAGGGGAGGGAGAAACATCGATGTGAGAGAGACACATCAGTTGGTTGGTTGGTTGCCGGGGGCTGAACCTGCAACCCAGGTACATGCCCTGGACTGGGAATCGAACCCGCAGCCCTTTGGTGTGCAGGCAGATGCTCCAACACTCAGCCACACTGGCTAGGTATATCTTGAGATTTTTTTAATTGATGTATAATTGATATATGTTATATAATTTCAGGTGTACAACTGGTCACCACAATAAGTCTAGTTAATATCCATCACCACACATAGTTACACATTTTGTCTTATGATGAGAACTTTTAAGACCTATCCTTTTAGTAACTTTCAAATATACAATACAGTGTTATTAACTATGGTCCCCATGCTTTACATTACATCCCATGACTTATTTATTTTATAACTGGAAGTTTGTACCTTTTTAAAATTACTATTGTTGAAAGTATTACAGACCCCCTTTTTCCCTCCATTGATCCCCTCCCCGCCGCCCCTGGCCTTCTCCACACTATTGTCTGTGTCCATAGGTCACGTACATATGCATCTCACTTCTCGATTACTCCCTCCCCCACACTCCGTACCCCCACCTTCCCTCTGAAATTCCTCTGACTGCTCCATGGTTCCTTGTCTCTGTATCTATCTTGTACATCAGTTTATTTTGTTCATTAGATTCCACATATGAGTGAGATCATGCGGTATTTGCCTTTCTCTGACTGGCTTACTTCACTTAGCATAATTTTCTCCAGGTCCATCCATGCTGCCCCAAAGGGTAAGAGATCCTTCTTTTTTGCATAGTATTCCACGGTGTAAATGTCCCACACCATTTTTATCCACTCGTCTGCTAATGAGCACTTTTGCTGTTTCCAGATCTCAGCTATTGTACATTGTGCTGCTATGAACATAGGGGTGTATAAGTTCTTTCTAACCAATGTTTTGGGTTTCTTAGGATATATTCCTAGAAGTGGAATCACTGGGTCAAATGGCAGGCCCATTTTTAAATTTTTGAGGAAACTCCACACTGCTTTCCATAGTGGCTGCACCAGTCCACATTCCCACCAGCAGCGTTCCCTTCTCTCCACACCCTCGCCAGTGCCTACCATTTGATGATTTACTGATGGAGCCATTCTGACAGGTGTGAGGGGATCTCATTGTGGTTTTAATTTGCATCTCTGATGATTAGTGACTTTGAGCATTTTTTTCATATGTCTCTTGGCGATCTGTATTTCCATTTTGGAGAAGTGTCCTTTTAGGTCCTTTGCCCATTTTTTAAACTGGACTGTTTGTCTTCTTTCTGTTAAGTTGTATGAGTTCCTTATAGATTTTGGATATTAACCCTTTATCAGATGTAACATTGGCAAATACGTTCTTCCATACAGTGGGCTCCCTTTTCGTTTTGTTGATGGTTTCTTTCGCTGTGCAGAAGCTTTTTATTTTGATGTAGTCCCACTTGTTTATTTTCGCCTTTGTACCTTTTGACCACACTCACCCATTTCACCCACCCTTACCCCCACCTCTGGCAAACATCAATCTGTTCTCTGTATCTATGACCTCAGGGGTTTTTCCCCTTTTTTAAAGGTTCCACTTATAAATGAGATCATAGAATATTTATCTTTCTGAGGCTACTTATTTCACTTAGCACTCATAGTCCATCCCTGTTGTTACAAATGGCAAGATTTTCTTCTTTTCTTATGGTTCAATAATATTCAAATACACACACACAGGGTGTTCGAAAAATGTATACACACTTTAACAGCTAATAGCTGTTAAACGAAAATAAAATGTATTTTAATTAACACTGCCTTTATAATTATATTCAAAGTGTGTATACATTTTTTGGGATTATATATATGTGTGTATGTGTGTGTGTGTGTGTGTGTGTGTGTATGTAGATATACACACACATATATAGTGTTTTTGGAAAAAGGTCTATTCTGACCTTTTTTAATCAGATTGCTGGTTTATTTCTGCTATTAAGTTCTATGAGTTATTTATATATTTTGGATATTAACCCCTTATTAGATATATGATTTGCAAATGTTTTCTCCCATTTCGTAGGTTGCCTTTTTTCTTGTTGATGGTTTCCTTTGCTGTGCAGAAAATGCTTAGCCTGATGTGGTCCCATTTGTTTATTTCTGCTTTTGTTGCCTTTGCTTTTGTAAATCGAAAATACCATCACCAAGACTGATGTCAAGGAGCTTACCACCTATGTTTTCCTCTAGGAGTATTATGGTTTCAGATCTTTAAACCATTTTTAGTTCGATTTTGTGAGTGGTGTAAGATAGCGATCCAGTTTCATTCTTTCCCATGTGGCTGCCAATTTTCCTGGCACCATTTATTGAAGAGACTGTCCTTTCCCCATTGTACATTCTCGGGTCTTTGTCGTTGGTTTTCTTTGGGGCTCTCTGTTCCATTTCACTGATCTGTGTGTCTGCTGTATGCCAATAGCATACTGTTTTGATTACTCTTACTTTGTTATATAGTTTGAAATCGGAGAGCAGGATGAGGTCCCCCTCAGCTTTGTTCTTAGGATTTCTGTGGCTATTTGGGGTCCTTACCGATTCCATACAATTGAAGGACGAATTACTCTATTTCTTTGAGAAATGCAATTGGAATTTGATAGGGATTGTATTGACTGTGTGGATTACTTTGGATAGTATGGACATTTTAACAATATTAATTCTTCCAATCCATGAGAATAGAATATCTTTCCACTTATTTGTGTTCAATTTATTTCACAAGTGTCTGCCTCCTGCAGGCACCCAGACCAGGGTGGGAACCTGCAACTGAGGTACATGCCCTTAATGAGAAATCAAACCCAGAACTCTTCTGTCCCCAGACGGACTCTCTAACCATTGAACCAAACCGGCCCAGGCGATTTTATTCTTTCTGATGCAGCATACATTTTACATGAACAACTGAATGAATGCTCACTAATTCTAACGTGCTTATCTCCAGACATCAGCACTTACTGCCTTATCTCTTTCAGGGATTGCAGTTTCTAAACTTTGGTATTTCTTCTCCTAGGTTTCCCTGTCTCCTTCCAGTCCCGGGCTCAGCTCTGTCGTTTCCTTACCATGTGCATCTTCACATGCACTGCCCAGCATGCAGCAATCAACCAAAGCCAGGTATGGACACCTGAAAGCCTGGGTCCCTGAGGGAAAGTGCCTGGACTAGGTTATGCTTAAAGAAAGACCTGGGAGTAGAGCCCTGCATATCAGAGTTCCTGGTTGACTTCAGATTCCTCCTCCCTCAGCTGGACTGGTTCTTCTGGGTCCCTAATGCCCCATCCACAATGCGGATGCCCCCTCCTACCACCAAGGAAGATGTGACAATGGCCACAGTGATGGGTTCACTCCCTGATGTCCGGCAAAGCTGTCTTCAGATGTTTTTTGTGAGGACAGTGGGCCAGCAGCAGTCAGGCATGGTGAGAGGGGATTTGTGGACTTCTGGGGCACTGATAACTGGAGAAGAAATTTCAGAGTGTGGGGCTGGGCTCTGATCCCTGTGTCTTGGCACTAGAAGCTGATCTATCCTTTGTTTCCGCTTCAGGTACCCCTGGGGTATCACCCAGAAGAATATTTCTCAGGCTCTGAGCCCAAGGCTGTTTTAAGACAACTTCAAACAGATCTGGGCAACCTGGAAAGGGAAATCGTGGCCCGGAATGAGCAGCTAGACCTTCCCTATGAATACCTGAAGCCCAGCCTCATAGAGAGCAGTGTTGCTCGCTGAGCCCGAATATAATGGCCTTTCACAGACCATAGGCCAATACTAGGGCTAACATTTTCCTTTTGAGTTTTATGTTTTTCTAGATCTGAGATGCAATGGCTCTATTTTCTTTTCTATCTCAGTTCCCTATCTGAATATATTACTAGCCTGAGGCACTGTCCTCACTTTCAGGTCATCTAACAGAATGATCTTTAACTTGAAAACACATTCTGTAAAGAGATCAACTATTTACTCATGTAGCTTTCTCCTGCCTCTAGAAAATTTGTCTTTTCCATTTACTAGATAATCATTTGGGGATAGATTGGTCAATATGGTGTGAGATAAATGTTCCATTCCACTTTTTTCTTTTGGGAAAATCTATTATATCAGCACAGTTTATTTCAGAGCCCATCCTCTCTCACTGATCTATAATGCTGATATAAATCAAGCTGCCATATCTGAATAGAAGTATTTTTGAGATTCCTATTCTATATATTCATTAATATGTTAGTCTTACATTATATCACACTGACATAATTACTACAAATTTATCATTAAAATAACTTGTTTTAATTATAGAGTAACTTATTTCATAACACATATTCATCAAATTTGTCTGTTAGAGGTAACTTGGCTTTTTTTCTGATATTTAATGTAAATATTAATATCAGCTTGTTTTTCTCCAAATAAAGCCTGTTGTGATATTTTTGCATCAATGCGCTGCATCTATATAAAGTTTTTAGTCTGAAGTCAACTTTGCATTCTTGAGATATTTCCAATTTGTAATTTTATTAATTAATTAAAATATGTGTTTATTGAGAGAGTGGAAAGGAGGAGAGAGAAAGAGAAACATTGATGAGAGAGAACCATCAGTTGGCTGCCTCCTGTATGCACCCTACTGGGGATGGCCCCTACATCCCGGACCCTGACCAGGAATTGAACCAGCGACCTCTCTGTGCATGGGACAATGCTCAGTCATCTGAGCCACAGCAGCCAGGGCCCAATTGACTATTTTATATGTTGTTGAATTCTGCTTATATAATCTTGCATTTGAAAAGGACTAGGTGCCCTTTCAAACTAACCAATCGATTTTCCAATCCTTCCCAGGCTTCTGTTGGCTCTTCCCACCAAATGTTTCATTTCCTAGATCTTCAGGAGTTCTGTGTCCCTCATCCAATCTAGTCCTTTCCCCATGCTAGGTACCTCCCCTTTATGGTTGCCATCCTAGTTCCTACTGCAAATGCTTCACAGTAGAAGCATCTCCCCATGGTCACCTTGGCTTCTGCTGGACAGGTATCCAGCAGAGGAATTTCCTCTTTATTGTTTATTCTTCCCTCCATAATCTGGGAAAATGAACCAAATGTACCCTGAGGAGACTGGAAAGTTGGTCCTTTCTCCCTACATGGGGGAGGGAGGAGTGTGAATCTTCCTGCGGGGGAAATGCTGCAATCCCCTGGGTTGCCTGTGATGCTGCGACTTTTAGTAGATTAGGCTTCTTTTTCTTTTTTTTAATTTTTTTTTTTTATATCTTTATTGATTTCAGAGAGACGAAAGGAAAGGGAGAGAGAGAGATAGAAACATCAATGATGAGAAAGTCATTGATCGAGCCCACAACCCGGGCATGTGTCCTGACCGGGAATCCAACCCCTATCGCCTGGATCCCAGGTCGATGCTCAACCGCT